CTCGCTATCCCGGGCCAGGCCTGGACCAGAGCCCAGAGTGTGGGTGTGGGAAGGGGTGGGAAGGCCCCAGGCAGAGGGAAACCGCAACAGGAAATTACGAAAAAACTGGAACTTCTCTGAGCCTCAAGAGGACTGGAGTAATTCCTTTGGAATTGCAACTGTTCGAACTCTGTTACTGCAGCTCCAAATCCAGACAGAAAAAAGAGTCACCCATTTCTTTTAACAACAGAGAGAAGCATTGGTATCAGGCCCTGGTGCTTCTGTTCATTTCATTTAATACTTCACATTTGGATGCCGATATTCTGCTTCTATTTTACATCTGCTTATTTGAATACTGCAAGGCTCCCTCTCTCGAAGGCAGCTTCTGTACTCACTGTGCACAGCACTACCTCATCTTTCAACAGCCGCTCCAAAGTCCCAGGAATCAGAGCGGAGCACTCAGTACTGAGCAAAGAGCTGGGGAGAGTGGGCTTATGAGGAACAACTGAACACAGTGTCTTCAAGAAGGATCAGAATTAGGCCCTGCAGTCTGGGACAGCTCTCCCACACACACCTGTGTCCAATCAACACCCTACTGTCTGGGACAGCTCTCTAAATAGTATTAATAGTCCCCGTGTACAGTTTCAGGAGTCAAGCCATGAGAAGCATTCAGTACATTGGGTGGGGATAACAAAAGATCAAAAGCAAAAACTTCCAAAAGAGAAGTCCCATTTTTGTTATCCAATATTACCAGACATTTTAACCATTGATGATACCCAGTGTCCTGGATAAATCCTGTTTTGTACTGCCGGTCCAGCCTTAAATTCCCCCCTAATCCACTTGGTGCAGCCATTCCTCCTTCCCCCCTGATCTGCGAGTCTCCCAGGTGGGGTTAAACTCTTAGTGGGGGGTGAAACTGGAATTGTATCTAGTACTCCAACGGGGACGAGACGGCGCAAGGCCCTGCTCAGAGTGCAGAGACACCAGCTCACCCTGATAGTTTCTTTCAGACTCTTGACCTCCGCCAGCAGCTCCTCCCTTTCCTCGAGCAGCCTCCCCGCCAGACCTGCAGAGCAAGCAGACAGCCGGTTAGTAACAAAGTCCTGGAGGGGCAGAAGGACACATACAGAGGAGTGCTTGGTACAGCACGTACGTCAGAGTGACCTCGGACACCACATTTTGACGCGACCAACTTTTAATTTCTGAATGG